GCGTCGTCTGCGCAGGTGTAAATGGCTGCATCACAGCGTACCTGGCGCTTTGGCTGCCGTATGTACGCAAGGTGGACCTTGAGTGGAGTGTGTACTGTCCACGCATGATCCCCACTGCGACCATCGTCGGTCTCGTCGGCGCACTTGGGTATGTGCGCGATCTACTTGGTACCCCACTCGATGCGATTGTAGTTTGATCCTGGGCCTTTGGCCTGTCTGGGGCCTCTTCACGCCCGGAATTCTCTTTGTGTTGTTTCTGGGCACACTCATGACGGCGCACTTTCTCCCAGCCATGTAATTTGCTACAATAGTACAGCACTCTTGCACATTTTTACGACTGAGCAGTGGGCTCACGAGGCACTGCGAGCATATCTTTGTAGAGCGCAGTGTAATCCAATGCTTTTTCGATCGCCAAATAGTATGTATCAATGACCATGGTAAAATCAAGGAAATACGGCTTGACTAGAGTTAACCTCGTGTCCCTTGAGGCAGGGTGTGGTTGATCCTTGTCATTTGGGTAGAACATCGAACGGGTGGACAATCTAGCCATTTTCCCGCGTAGCATGCGCAGTAGTTTGATCTATGAAGAAGGTTTGTGCAGGCTGCAGTGGAGCTTTTAGATTTCGGCTTTTTGTGGCGGTGTGTCTGTGTTGTACCGTAGCGTCGACTGTGTGGATCTCGTCAAAACGGTGTACGGATTCTGGCACAATGACTACGGTCGTATATTCGACCCGCAACTGCCACTTTTCATCGAGCTCTACCACGACAGCATCGTCCGCGCGGTCGACGACTGGGCCATCCTGCACATTCATCACTCGACCACCATTGCTACGATTCGAACGATGATGGTCATGCGCGAAGTCATCGAAGGCGTTGGCATGATCGCGATCTGCGACTCCCTTGAACCGAGCACCACCTGCAAGAGCAGATGAACTTCGGCGGACACGTACCCAGATTATCGTCCGAGCTGGTATGAGCGCCCTCGCTGTTGCCAATGTCGACATGTTTCTCCGCAGACAACGCCTATTGGTAGCTCTCGTACTTCGCGACTCGGATCTCGTGTCACGCAGCAGGTGCTTTCTTTGCCACGTCAAGTTTCGTGTGTTTTCGACCAAGCGCAACCGCCTAACTTGAGGCAAGGTCATGTGCAAGGACTGCGCGCAGCAGTGGAACCTCGTGACAACCCAACCTCGGCAGCACTTGCTCGTCGGCTGGGCGTACGCAATCCTGGCGGGCGTCGTCTTCCGACACCCCACAAAGACAGCGCGCTCGGGATGGATTGCACAAATACAAGACCGCAGACGTCCGGAACATAGTGCAGTGCGTACGTGTCCATCGCTAGTGGAGGGAGTTTCGTCAACGCCATCCATGCTGACGATCAACGTCGCGGTCTGCTTCGCGACGCCAGCCGAGGCATTCTTCGACGATCCATGCCTGTTGGCCGAACCCCGTTGCAGCCCTAAATGGACTGCAGCGACGAGACGTCAAACGACTTGGCGACCGATATCTGTTGACGTTTCTCGTACGCCCCAGAACAGCAACCACCCCTCGTACCCTCGGCCATTGTCAGCGGCGTTCCATGCACCATCGGAGCTTTCGTCGGGCAAGAGCTACGACGACGGGCGGACTAGATCGCGACTACCGAACGCTTCCATCGATGGCCCAGTTAGCGACAAGAGCGCTAACCCACCGGCTACTCTGACCGCTGATCACATCAACACTAGCAACGCCCGGCGCGCTGGGACGACCTGCATTTTTTGAAGAGCTCGATCACACTGTCTGCGGCGCGGCGTCTGACAGCCAAAGCAATGCAGAGGCAGATATACTCAGACTATACACGGGTGCTACAAACGAGCGCGACACAAAGCCCAGCACAAGAGCTGTTTCAACATGGTGAGCTTGGTACTAAAGTAGTCATGCCCTGCCAACCCGCATCACGTCAGTACGATGTCTCAGACCAGAGCCCACGTTTCACGCGGCTCCGGTCGAATGGGCTTGGGTGGCGCTCGCACATGGATGGCGATGATTGCGCGGGGTCTTGTTGGCTTCTGTCAGCTTTCATGACGCTCCATTGTTCGTTCGCGGCGGTAGCCACTGCTTTCGTCGCATCGGAGTATCACGGACATCACGACTCACAACTGCCCCCGTGATGTCCGTGATACTCCGATGCGACGAAAGCAGTGGCTACTGCCGTGTCGCCCTTTCACGCTCGGGCAGCGCGACGACGAAGTATCTAAGAGCTCACACTCGACAGAACCCTCCCAGGTTGTCGACGACGTCCGACGCTTACGAGTATATCACTCGAAGGTCTTGAGACGCCCGAGCAGCTTCGAGGCTTATACAACGAGCTCAAGAAGCTCCAACTCGATGCGCAAGACACAGTGTCCCCGCGTACTTGTAGTCATGTGATAGCATCCCTATCTCAAAGTTTAGAAGCGCACTTTCGTCAACCTTGCTGCATCGTGTTTCCACGCGCCACGTCATGTAGTTCGAAGTTTGGAAGGATGTAATTATCTTGGCAATTGTAAGCGGGAAAGGCGAAGTTGCTTGACTACTTCGACGAAGATGTGTGTCACGCGAACCTGGTCTTGACTCCGCGTGTGATTGTAGTGCCCGATGACAAAGGCAAGGAAGGTGCCCGCTACGTATGCGCGCTTCGAGAGTCCACCGCTGGAGCCTGCGGACGAGCTGCATCTCATTCAGACGGCCTTGCAGTCACTCACAGAACTCGTCCGCAGCTCCCGCCTCGAAGGAGGCCCGATCTTGTGGTCGCTCGACTCGGACGCGGACTGGCGTACGCATTTTCACAGGCATCGACCCTCTAGCACCGCCCCATGTCAGCATTACGCTATGCGGCGTCATGGATCTTCAAGGCACGCTTGCCGAAGCTGCATCGCTTTTTGACCTTGACTCGACCGATGCCGTCCGTCAGTATCGTTCGCGCTTCTCCAAGGATATTGCCGACTACGCGTCATTGTATACACTAGCGCCGCGTACTCCAGAGCACCCGCGCAACTATATCGGCGTCAAGTGGCTGGCGCTCAACATGCCGAGCCCGATAGTAAAGGACCGGGACTATTGTCTCCTTGAGGTAGAGAATCTCGATTTCGTGGTCCAACCGACTTTGCCAAACTTGTAGTGCCAAGACGATTTTACGTTCAACGGTGTTCGCGGCTGGGCGCGCAGCTTTAACTCCATCGAACTGCCCTCTTGCCCTCTCTTCCCCGGCCTCGTGCGCGCAACCTTGTTTCGCGCAGGATATGTCTTCATCGAGAGTACGATGCCGGGCCTCATGAAGTGCGTCCATGTCATTCAAACGGATCTCGCTGGCGCGCTCCCGACGTGGCTTGTGCGCACCGCCATGAAGCGCCGCGTGAGAAACATCGTCGAGATCGACACGCTTCTCCGGCAACTCCGACTCTCCTTCTCTGCAAGCCTCACCGACGACCAGCTCGTGCCGCTTTCGATGCGCCGCAGCTGCTTCCTCTGCAGCACAAAGTTCTCTCCGTTGGTCGCCAAGCAGCAGTGCGGAAAGTGCGGCCAAGTCGTTTGCAAGCACTGCAGCAAGCTCTGGGAGCTGCGTGGCACATGCGTCCGCGTGTGTCACAAGTGTGCGGCCGGCGCTGGGATCGACTTGCCGCCAGTGCCCATGCCCACAGTCGACAACGAGGCCCCCTTCCAGATCTACACTTGCGACGACGCAAAGCAGCGGCACCGCCGACCATTGCCGAGAGCGTTCTCGACCCAGGTGCACGACGCGGCCTCGCGGCCACTGCCAGAGCGTCAGCTATCGTGGCCCGACGACCGGCCGGCGCCAGACCCGTTTCAACACCGCGACATACCAGTGGGTCGCGGGAGGTACTACACGCACTTTAATGCAGCAACAGATCGCCCGCCAGAGCCATTACGTGGGGCCTTGCGTGGCCAGCACCATGCGGCAGATGCTTTTCAAGAGTCGCGAGTAACACATCATGACGGCGCCGTCTTGGACGTGAGCCAACTCGATGCGACCCCGGCGCAGCTACGGCAAATGCTTGCACATCTTAGGGCACTGGGCGTCGACGACGAACGTCAGTAGTGTTTTGAATGATCATACTTTAATACGTACAGTAGTACATGGAGCTTGTACAGGGCCGGGGTCTGCATTTACACTACTGTAAAACATGGGCAATTACCACAAGTGCTCATGCTGCAGCAAAGTCTGGAATCTGAGCTTGCGTCTGATTTGGCCCTTCCAGATCCATCCAGCTCGAGGAAGGGTGTGTGCACTTCTGTGCTGTGGAGGCCATGGAGTGTGTGGCTGTGAGTGATGTACCTTTCGTTTACCAGCTCGTCCATCGACACACGAGACGACCGTCGACACACGAGACGACCGTCGACGCCACTTTCTGCCTCTTTACGGGGTACCGTCGCGTCGGGTGTGGCAGGCGAGGGCCAAGGGCTCGAGCACCACGCAGCGCGTTGCGAGCGCAGTCGTCGCGTCACCGCCGAAGGCTCTGCGAATCGAACGCATGGCGTTCCACAGACTGGATCCTCGAACCGAAGTCGAAGTTGACGCGCACTCTGCCACGCATAGCAGGAAGCGCCAATCAGAAGCGCCCAGTCTATGCAGCTGCATACAAGTGGTACTTCGAAATTCGGCTCGCATGGTGAGTGCATTGCAGAGTCAGATTTCAATTAGCATGCAAGTCCTCGCGTGGGTCGCTCTCTTGGCCATTGGCGCCGACGCTGCAAAGCGGGCGCCATCGAACCCGATCTGGAAAGAGGTCCTCGCGCTGCCCGACATCACCTCCATGTACATGTCTCTCGCTTCTGTCGCCCGGCTCATGAGGTTTGGCCAGCGAAACAACACTCACGACCGACGGCACGTACCTCGAAGTTCGCTACGACGGCGCGAAAGAGACGCTCAAGTACGCTGGCCGCTTGGACTATGTACGACCTCAAGCTCTATCATAGAACCATCTCCCGCGTCACGAGCCTTTGCCTCACGGGCGTGTCGCTGCCCGACGGCCTCAAAAAATTGTACCACGCCGACTTCGCTGCAAAAGCTCAACGCGATACGTAGCTCGCTCAGCCGCGTGAACCTCAAGACGATCCCAAAGGGCTTCACGTGGCCGGCGTCGCTCACCCATCTGTACGTGTTGTGCTTGTCGCCATCGGCCAATATTGTTTTCACAGAGATCTCTCGTCCAACAAGCTGACGTCGTACCCTGCAACGACTCCGCTCCCCGACGGCCTCGGCTTCTTTAGTCTGAGCAACAACAAGATCAAGTCGCTCAACGACTACTTTACATGGCCCAGCAACCTCACCGAACTGTACGACGACGTCTCGTTTCTCTTGTTGTCCGCACGAGGTCATTTGACAGGAATCTCGCGTCCAACCAGTTCAGCACTGTCGTCAAGCTCCCGTCCACGCTCACAAAGCTGTACAATAAAACCATGCACGACCCACCCAGCTAAGATGAAACTAGTGACCTCTCGGGAAACCCACTCAAGACGATCCAAGCCCAGCAGCAGTGGCCCGAAAGCCTCACCGAACTGTACTGACATGGTCGTGTACCATTCACGGTCCTTAAACTGTGGTCCAGGGCACTCACCAACACGCAACTGTCAGTGCTGCCTGCAAACCTGCCGTCCAACCTGAACATTATGTACGCCCTTGCGTCCCGAACCCTCGAACCTCACGTGTTGTTGCTGTGTAGACACCTCGCTTCCAACAAGATCGCCAAGTTTCCTTCCAAGGACGACTTGCCCGACTCGATCCACTACATGTAACACATCTACGCGGCTGAGGCGATGTTAACGTATGCTTACGCAGTGGCTTGACGCACAACAAGATTGCGACACTGCCGTCCAAGATCGAGTGGCCCAATCTTTTCACACTGTAGGTTTTGTCGTGTAGTGCCAGCGTGTAACAACTGCTGCGTCAATGTAGAGAGCTCGACAGCAACGCGATTACATTCATCCCGGACGACTTTAGCCTCCCGACGTCCATGGGCATCCTGTACGACTGCAATGCAGGTTCCTTGTGCCGATAGATGATGACGTGCCGTCTAGTGCGCTCGACGCAAACAAGCTTGCCAAGCTTCCAGCGAGCTGCGACTGGATGGCCAAGCTGTCCTCGATCACGCTGCGGGACAACGCAATCAGTGCGTTTCCGCCGACGTGCACGCTGCCGAATGCAATTTCGCTCCAGAACAACAACATTACGGCTCTCGAAGACATGGCGCTTCCCCAGCAAATGTACTGCTCACTCGAGCAATCCATGTCACGACAACTCACTGTACTACGCAGGGACGTCTCCAACAACCCAATCTCCAAGATCAACCGCGTGACGTTCCCGGAAGGTGTCTTTTGGACGACAAGCAAGTTTGAGCTCAAGGAATTTTCGCTTTCGTCTGCCATGTTTGATCTCCTCTCGGCTGCGACGGACCACACGTACTTTTACCCGCAGTTCACGACGGACGATGCTAGCGTCAAGACGGCGTGTGGCTACGGCACCGTCAAGAAGCTCCACGACTTTCCTATTTCGATTTGTGTCGTCTAGAGAATAAAGCCTCTATCTAATTGATTTTCATGCGGGCTGAACGTCGAAGCATCGGAGAAGCTTTCGATGTACTCGTTGGTGGTAGGCTTCTATGGCGACGAAGCGAAATGGGGTACTTGTGTTTGTGGTACTATACTGTATAGCAGCAGTGCCTTTCGCCGAGGTTTCTCGTGAAATCTTGTCACCGAAGACTGTGCTTGACTTCAGGCGACTGGGCTTGGCTCCAAGGACGTTTGTAGGTGGTTCTTTGACGAGCCAGTTGCAGACTTCTAAGGTCTGTTATCGTTATTAACAATAGGTAGGTCTTAGAACCGCCAATTTGTCTCGACCATCGTGCTCAGGACGATAAAAATCAAAGAGATTGGCGCATGCTTTCTTCCATCGCTTGTTTAAATGTTGTTCGGCTACAAAGCGCACTCGAACCACTTTGTAGGCTTGCGGTCGGCGCCCCACCAGCCATCGCCGAGGCGGAACGAGTTGTCGAGGTGGTTGGTATGTACAAGGTAGTTGCCATCGTCGGCATAGTTGGTCGAGAACGAAGATTTGGAAAACCCCGCGGCGCAGCTCGAGAAGGCGACGACGCCGTCATTGACATCGGCATGGTGCGTGAGCTTGCTGATAAGGCTTAGCACTGGCGCGTACACTGAAACCAGTCCGAACGGGCTGCTGCCGCAAAGAATCTTGGTCGCGTACTTGGCGCGAACGTCTTGGGCCGCTCGGTACGAGGCTTGTAGCGTCGCGTCGACCGTCGACACATCCTTGAGCGTCTTGAAAGCGTCGGTCATGGGGCACAGGCTGACGAGCTCCAAGAGACCTTTCAGCGGGATGTTCCAGCCCCCGTCCTTGCATTTTCGCTCGAGAAGGTTGGCGGTCTTGCTCCCTTGCATCGGGCCAGCGATCGAGATCCAGGAAATACCATTGCCAAAACTGCACTTTCCGGTCGCAACGGCACCACCTGCCACGAGGTTGCCCATCGAGTATGTGATGAGAATGAGGTCTTGGATGGTGGTGGAGTTGGAGTGGCTCACGCGCTGGGCTGCGTCGCAGAACTGGTTCTGGATCTCGTCGTTGTTCCAGCCATGCTTCCACGTTTCAAAGTGCACAAACTTGGTCGACGAGCAGCACGGCGCGTGGTTCTGGATGGAGCCCCACTCGAGCCCGTCCGAGTTTGTCGGATCGGACGCGAACGGCTTGCCGAGACCGTGGACGAAGAGACACGGCTTCTTTTGCGCGAGCTTGCACTCGCACGACGCGGCGCCGAGACGAGCAATACGCGGCTCGACAGGAAGATCGTCAAACGCTGCAGGAGACAGCAGCGCCATTGGGAGCGTCGGGAGGCGGCTGTACCCAGGCAGCAACGGGCACACGATCAACGCTTCGTTGGGCGGCGGCGGCACCATCAGCGACGGAATCTCGGAAGGGTCCGAAATGTACGCAATCGTCATGTCCAAGTCATCGCCGACGGCGTGCGTCAGCGTGTGCGCCGGCGACTTGCAAAAGACAAAAGTTTCGCCTGCGAAGCGCACCTGCAGCCACTTGCCACCGAGGCAGTTGCCAGACGCGACCGTTGGAGACACCGTCTCGACCGCGTCGACGATCGTCGCCTCGTTCAAACTCACTTGCATCTACTTGGTGATCAGTTTTCAACGAGAAACCTTGCGCACCGAATGCAAGGGCGGCAACTGCGACGGGTCGAGGCAGTCGACCGAGACGACGGCGCCGGCATGACTCACAATGTAGTACGCCCGGTCGTTGACGAGTAAGTACGTCTCTGTCGCGTTGCCGCTGGCGTGGGTGAGAACGGCGTCAAAGCTGCCTCCGAGGCGGGGTACGACATAGATGGTCGCGGAACTGAGTCCGTTGATCATCATGGACTCTCGCTTCGCGTGTAACGTTAAACGCAGCGCCGACGACTGCTGGATCTGCGTCATGATATCGAGGCGCTGTGGCATGGCAGCACGAGTGTGCAGCAGCACCGCACCAATCACGAGGCAGATGCACACAGCGGCCATGACCCGTCCTCCAAATCGACCTAAAGCATGTTTGCAGGCTGTACCACGTTGGATAGATGTACGGCGAAGACAGAGCGACGGAGCATCGGTGACAGGCGCGAAGACTACCATCTCTTCAGCTGGCGTACCCATGAAGATTGCGGCGCGACGGGGGCCGATGGAGGGCGTGCGGGCACAGCGCGCGGGAGGCGCGTGTAGTCGCGGCGCACAGGCGGGCGCAGAGGTTGCAGCATCGTCGTCGTTGATGCGACCCGAGCCTCGGTAGAGTCCGGTGATCCGACAGTGAGAACACTGACCAGAAGTGGCGCCGGATATCAGCAGGAAGATCGCGAGCGAATTGCCTAGAAAAGTATGTACCCTGGAGCTCTTCCTGTACGCCCGGTGATTTCTTGTCCAAGCAACAGCTACGTCCACGGAGTGTACGACATGACATAGCAGTTGTATTGGAATGCTATATGGCAACAGGTCGTGGACGGCGAGGCTCGTTGTCGCGGTGATTCCATTATTCCGTGGGACGGTTCTCGCCTTGAGCCGTCTTTAGGTCACCCAATTGCTCGCAGAAGAGCACTGGTCAAGACTCGGTGCCAAGTTCAGAAAAGGGTCGTGAGCTCCCGGGCTTCTGGCCGAGAGACATTCTTGACACAGTTCTTGACAAGCATGATAAACGTCTGTCTGCACCCAAATCTTGCAGCATTCAGGGGGCGTAGCTTGCGCAAGAGATGGAGTGGACAAATAAAAC